CCCTCGCGTATGTTATCCAAAGTTTGCTCTTATCAGTTGTTATTTATCATGTCTCCATCAGGGTGGATCATTTGCTTTTTCATGCTTCAAGGGAACCTATTATTATTATTACGTATTCTTCTTCTCCTTCTCGCGGTTGTTCTCTCTCTCCTCATTATTGGAGTATATATACTTCCACATATCAAAACATGGCTGGGACACATAATATTTTGTATATATTCCAAGACCCGTAGTAAATGGCCAAAGCAGGGTAACTGTACCACCTGTCAATGTGTTTGTCTGACAATTTGTGTACAATTTCAGTACTATTACTAGTGTCAGAAGAAAGTAATGGTTATGATTGGCAAGGAATACTTAAATTTGTAATTATCAGAACATAAAAATTATTTAAAATAATATGAAAATAGAAAAAAAAGGATATGGCAACACTTCTGCAAGAATAAATGGAGACTCGTGTTGCGTAAGTGAGCATCCAGTGCCAACTTCCGGCCTCTTATCTCTGTAAGTATGACCCAAATTTTTTTTATTCTAAAACACTTAACCCTTTCAGGGTCTCCAGAGGCCAAATTTCAAAGTGTGCATTCAGGGTCCAAGAATTTAAAAAAAAAAAAAAATTTGTTTTTTTATGAAAATGGTAGAGGATTCTTTTTCTGAAGAGGTAATTAAAGAAGATAGTACGAAATTTGATGGAAAATTGAACGAAATTTATGCTCTGCAAATTTTGATGTGTCAGTGATATTTACGAATTGGGGCGATTTTATGCTGACTTTGACTCCCATTTTTGGGCCAATTACATTATTTCCAGTCGACCAGAAAATTTTGGCTATTTCCTAGTATTACTTCTGATTCTTTCGATGAGCACAAAGGAAATCGCCCAGTCAACTGTTTCCACACAAAATGAAGTGATCGGAAATAGTAATTTGGCCACAATTTACACAAAGTTCAAAAACTTTCCAATTTCAAAATAGGTTCCAGTATAAACAATGTAGGTATTCTGGCACTAAACTAACATTTCCTTGTTCATTTTAGTTACGTTTGAGGCTTTACAATTATTCCATTTGATTTATTTTTTATTACATAATGAATTTTTATTCAGACCAACAAATTAGAGATTTGCCTTGGTTATGCAATCTATGTAATAATTGTATAAATATATGATCATACATCGTGAATGTATATTAGGACCCACCAGCTAGCGTGTATTAGATGTGTCGAGGTCGTTTTGTTTATCTTGGAACATTGGCAAAAATTAAACATTTCCGCTACTTTGAGCTCAGTTCAAGCCATAATCAAATGTAAAACCAATCAATTCATCTCGCTATTTCTGTAATTATGTCTTCTCATCATGCCATCAAATGATACCACGATATCGCAAATGTACAACTATAAAATAACATACGTAAACGCAAACACTGCGAAGTCGCAGTTTTAATTTGAAAATCCGGGCTGTTTTTTTTTTTCTCTCATTATACAGTGTGTGCTGACGGATCGGTTTTATGTGGTGCAAAACATACCACATAGATGTATTCTCTCATATCTAGGCCAAATTTACCAATCACCACTTATCGAGTGGCGAGGCTTATGGCATTGAACTACAGTTTGGTCCCGGAACGGTTAAAGCCGTAGATCTCACGGCACAGACCCTGAAAGGGTTAAAAAAAATGCGCGCTTCTTTTTTTTTCCTATATATATAAAAAAAAAAAAAATCAAAATATTGTGGCACTGTGCAAGAGAACGTATATTTATGTTTGGGACCGTTAATGGTTAATGCAGCCCTGAGCCATAGTAGGACCTTTCGCAACAATAACATGTCATTGAGTTTAATCTTTTCTTTATACAACTACATTTGATGCCTATCATAAACGAAGGGAGGAGATAATGTATAATTCATGCGAGAGAGAGAATTGTTAAAGCAAATGTGGAGGTGATATAGTCAAACGCAGATTCATACACGTTTTCTTTGCTTGCTGGAGACTTAGAGAAAACAAATGTTTTCCTCTGAACTGGCATATAAACAAAGCATGTTTATTTAATGTGTAATGTGTTTTTAATTTAGTTTTGAAGGAAATTCATAGAGTGGATTAAAACGTAAAATAAGACATTTTAAGTTAAAGTCAATAACGTGGTCGAGCTTCAACCAGGTCAAATGGGGAGAAAAGTGACAGGAAAAGAGAAGAAGGGCTCTCTTTTTTTTGTTCCCAAAAAAAAACAATAAACATTTCCTCTCCTCCCTTCTCAGCACTATCCTAGTAAGCACAACCTCTTTTCAGTAAAGTGGGTGAAATTTGCAGTTATCTCATCTAATTCTTTTGTATTTATGTATGTATTTTAGTATTAAGCAGTGTTTAAATTAAATATTTTAGTATTAAGCAGTGTTTAAATTACTTAACCCTTTCAGGGTCCAGAGGCCAAATTTCAAAGAGTGCACCGGTGTCCAAGAATTAAAAAAAAAAAAAAAAAAAAAAAAAAAAAAAAAAAAAAAAAAAAAAAAAAAAAAAATTCTTATGAAATGGTTGAGAATCTTTTTCTGAAGGTAATAAAACAGAAAGTACAAAGTTTGATGGAAAATTGACGAAATTATGCTCTCGCAAATTTTGATGCGTCAGTGATATTTACGAATCGGCGATTTTGCCAACTTTGACTCCCATTTTAGGCCAATTACATTATTCCAGTCGACGAAATTCTTAGCTACTTCACTAGTATATTACTTTTTTCTATTGAATGGAGCACAAGAAATCGCCCAGTCAAACTGTTTCACTACAAATAAAGTGATCGGAAATTGGTTAATTTGGCCAATTTAACACAAAAGTTCAAATTATTCCAGCTTCATAACAGGGTCCAGAATAAACCAATGCAGGTATTCTTGGTACTAAACTACATTTTCCTCTGCTCATTAGTTCTGTTTTCAGGCTTTACAAAATAGAATTCCATTTTGATTTTTGATTACAAAATGAATTTTTATGTAGCCAAATAATTTGAAGATTTACTGTTAAGCCTTTTTGTAAATTGGTATAAATATCATCATCACATTTGTGAATGTATATCAGACACCAGTTTGGAGTGGATTAGAATGTGAGGGTCGTTTGTTTTCTCTTGACCATTGAAAAAATTAACATTTCCACTTATTTGGCTCAGTTTCAAGCCACTTTCCAGTATAAAACCAATCCAATATCTCTCATTTCTGTATATGTCTTCCATTCTAATCAAAATGAGAACTCAAGAAATCACAATTTTACAACTTTAAAAACATACGAAAAAACACTGCAAAGTCGCTGTTTTAATAAAAAATCACACTCAAGTTTTTTTTTCTCTCATTATACACTGTGTGCTGCAGGATTGGTTTTATGTGGTGCACACATACCACATAGATGTATTCTCTCATATCTAGGCCCAAATTTACCACTCACAGCTTATCAGAGTGAGCTGAGCTCATGGCATAGATCTACGGTTTGGATCTTGAACGTAAAGCTGTAGATCTGCGGGACGGACCCTGAAAAGGTTAATTTAGTATTAAGCAGTTTAATTTATTTTATACAACCCCATCAATGTAGAAATTGCCAATAATAGGATTTTTTTCATGGTAACGGTTTAATTGTTATCCCTATATTTTTTTTATTTTATTTTTTTTTATTATCACACTGGCCGATTCCCACCAAGGCAGGGTGGCCCGGAAAAAGAAAACTTTTTCCCATCATTCAATCCTTCAGTCTTGACAGAAGGGTGCTTTACACTACAGTTTTTAAACTGCAACATTAACACCCCTCCTTCAGAGTGCAGGCACTGTACTTCCCATCTCCAGGACTCAAGTCCGACCTGTCGGTTTCCCTGAACCCTTTCATAAATGTTACTTTGCTCACACTCCAACAGCCACGTCAAGTATTAAAAACCATTTCTCCATTCACTTCTTCGAACACGCTACGCATGCCTGCTGGAAGTCAAGCCCTCGCACACAAAACTCCTTTACCCCTCCCTCAAACTTTCCTAGGCTGACCTACCCGCGTCCTTCCACTACAGACTGATACACTCTTGACGTCTTTTCTGTTTGCTCCATTCTCTCTACATGTCGAACACCTCATACAAACCATTCCTCAGCCCTCTGGACAACAGTTTTGGTAATCCACACTTCCTCCTAACTTGCCAAACTATGAATTTCTCTGCATTATATTCACACCACACATATTGACCCTCCAGACATGACATCTCCACTGCCTCAAGCCTTTCCTCGCTGTGTAACATTCATCACCCATGCTCAAACCCATATAAGAAGCGTTGGGAAAACTATACTTCATTCCATTCCCCTTTGCCTCCAAGGACAAAGTTCTTTGTCTCCACAGACTCCTAAGTGCACCACTCACCCTTTTCCCCTCATCAATTCTATGATTCACCTCATCTTTCACAGACCCATCCGCTGACACGTCCACTCCCAAATATCTGAATACATTCACCTCCTCCATACTCTCTCCCTCTAATCTGAAAATTAATTTGGTATATGTCCTGTTTGGCTTAAGTCCAATGTCCTGGAATGGATTATGGACGTATACCAAGGTACCACTGTACAATAAAACAAAAAGAAAAAAAATGGATGCTGGAAAAGGCATAGCCCAACATTTCTCTTGGAATATACAGTAAAAAATTTAGTGATAATATTTTTATCCTATTTTTTACTGCTTTTGTCTTATAACATTATGTACAAGAAATACTTCACCTATGTGCCTTCAAGAACACTGTATGACATACATTTTACAAGGAATATTATGTACACAACTGGTTTCAAAGAGTAATACTCACAAAACATGGATAGTCCCACTGACTACCGTGGTAGGTTTTAACTTACATTGATGAGCTTTTAAGCTAAATTCCACCTTAGTATCACAAACATTTTAATAAATTTGAAAAAGAGGTAAGACATCTTTAGAGTTCACACCCTTTGCTGAAGAGAGTTGGTGGTGGAAACAAAAGGTTTGGTTTCATTGTTACCTATGCAAGTTAGACCGAGTTACTCCCGATACACGCAAGGAATGCCTTATCTTAAGTCTCTGAAGGTCATGAAGGGCTGTAGGAGACCCCAAACAGTTAAACCAGTCAAAAATATTCACACGTGGCAAATTCAAAGGCATGAAAAACTGTATACCAGTATGCTGGACATATCCTCCTCACCTATGTACTAACACATTAGTCACAACTAAATGGTTAAGAACCACTGTCATCATTCAATCAAAACCTAGACTCTCACCCAAGGCTTTCAGAACTGCTCTCAAGCCCCTAAAATTTAAAGCCTCTTTTTACCCCCTTTCTTGAGCCAGATTTATATATCTACATCCTCTCTAAATGGCCAAACCACCTCAGCAACCCCTCCTCAATGCTCTTGAATTATACTCTTGGTCTTTTAATTTCTACACTTTGAACACTTTGCACAATATTCACACCACGCATTACTCTCAAACATAATATCTCCGGTGTCTCCTGACTTGCAATGTGCAATGCCCATTCTTCATATCCATGCAAAACTTTCTGGTACCACTAAACTCAGATGCATTCCCTTTTAACAGAATTAACATCTTACAGGAGCAAGGAAGAGCGAGATATGAATGAAAAGTCAGTGGGTAGAATAGAAGGGGGTAAAGCAGTTGGAACAGTTGGCAACAGGTTTGCAGTGCCAAGAGTAAATGTTCAATATATGCATAAAAAAAAGGAGAGAGACCTAAGGATTACTACCTTTTCCTTTATATAAAGAAATTATGTAAAAAAGAAAAACATACTCATGCCTTAATCCATGTGTGGTATCCTTACCCACTTTTAGTCAATGCCAGGAGGACCCTACTTCATTACCTCCATTTTTTTTTTTTTAACAAGTCGTCCGTCTCCCACCGAGGCAGGGTGACCCAAAAAGAAAGAAAATCCCCAAAAAGAAAATACTTTCATTATTATTCAACACTTTCACCTCACTCACACATAATCACTGTTTTTGCAGAGGTGCTCAGAACACAACAGTTTAGAAGCACATACGACGTATAAAGATACACAAATATCCCTCCTAAATGCCTAATATCCAAAAACCCCTCCTTTAGGCGTAGGCATGTACTTCCATTTCCAAGTACTCACGTCCGGCTATATAATAAAAAACAACTGGTTTCCCTGAATACCTTCACTAATATTTTACCATGCGCACACCCCAACAGATCGTCAGGTCCCAAATACCATTCATCTCCTTTCACTCCTATCGACACACTAATGCACGCAGCAGGGAAGTCCAAGCCCCTCACCACAAAACTCCTTACCCCTTCCTTTCAACTTTTCGAGGACGACCCCTACCCTGCCTTCTTTCTCCTTCAGATTTAAATGTTCTCCATGTGCATCTACTTTGATCCATCTTATAAATGACCACTCCACTCAACAACCCTTCTTTCAGCCCTCTGATGAATACTTTTATTAACTCACCCTTCTCAATTTCCACACTCCGAATTTTCTGCATAATATTTACACCAACCATTGCTTAGACAGGACCTCTCCACTGCCTACAACGCCTCCTCGCTGCTGCAATCACAACTCAAGCATCACACCAATATAAGAGTGTTGGTACTACTATATTTTCATACATTCCTTCTTTGGCACATAGATAACGTTTTTTTTTTGAACTCCACATATACTCAACGCACACTCACCTTTTTTTCCCAATCAATTCGATGTTAACCTCATCTTTCATAAATCATCCGCCGACTCATCACTCCCAAGTATCATCGAAACATTCACTTCTTCCCATACTCCTCTCCCCAATTTGATATCCAATTTTTCTTTATCTATGTTCATTTGATAACCTCATCACCTTACTCTTTTCTATGTTCACTTTCAACTTTCTACCTTTACACACACTCCAATACTCATCCACTAACTTGCCAATTTTTCTTTGAATCTCCCATAAGCATAGTATCAACAGCAAAAAGTAAAATGTCAATTCCCATTTTTGTATTTGATTCCCCATAATTTTAATACCACCCACTTCGTGAACACCCTAGCATTTACTTCTTTACAAATCCATCTGTAAATATATTAAACAACCTTGGTGACCAATTACACTCCTGTCTAAGAACCTACTTTTACCAGGAAGTATTCTCCCTCTCTTCTACACACCCTAACCTGAGCCTCACTATCTCATAAAAACTCTTTTACAGCATTTAGTAAACTTACTCCTATTCCATATACTGGAAACAATTGCCACATTGCTCCTATCACACTCCATTTTGGGGGAACTTTTCTAAATCCATAAAATGCAATTAATAAAAATTTCCTACCCTTTATCTAAATACTGTTAACATATTTTTTTTTTTCAACAAGTCGGCCGTCTCCCACCGAGGCAGGGTCGACCCAAAAAAAGAAGAAAATCCCAATAAGAAATACTTTCATCATCATTCAAACACTTTCAACACACTCTACACATTATCCACTGTTTTTGCAAGAGATGCTCACAATACAACAGTTTAGAAGCATAACATTTAAAGATACACACATATTCCTCCAAAACTGCCAATATCCCAAACCTCCTTTTAAAGTGCAGGCATTGTAATTCCCATTTCCAGGACTCAAGTCTGACTTTATGAAAATATCAGGCTTTCCTGTATCACTTCCTAAATTTACACTACTCACACGAAACGATAGTCAGGTCCCAAGTACCATTTGTCTCCATGCACTCCTATCTAACACGCTCTCACCAATAGCTGGAGTCCAAGCGCTTGCCACAAAACCTCCTTTACCCCCTCTCTCCAACCCTTTCGAGGAATGACCCCTCCCCCGCCTTCCTTTCCAAATAGATTTAGGCATTTCAAGAGGTAACTGGACTAGTTCTTCCCAGGTGCCAGATCAATAGGCTGTTGTGGATATGTGGGGCAGCGGGCCCCCAGGAACAACTGCCTGGTTGGACCAGGCTAAAGCCCAGACGAGCTAGTCCTTGGCCAGGGTCAGAGTAGATACTCTCTCGAAACTCTTCAAAGGTATTAAAAGACTATAGCGCCAGCCTGTGATAAAGTGTAGCATTAACAGTGTAGCAATTAAGTTAAGCAATTAAGCGATAGAAAAAGGACAACACGAAATGTTGTTGGAGGTACAATATATAGGGCCACTGACAATGCCACCCTGCCTATCTTCCACCACCCTAAACCAATGTCAGCATCTCCTCCAAGGTAAGTGTCAAAATTTCTTAAATATAAAGTGTAAATATTTCTTATTTATAAATTTAAGTGTAAATATTTTTTATTACAGGTAGTAGGTTGGTAGACAGCAACCACCCAGGGAGGTACTACCGTCCTGCCAAGTGAGTGTATAAACCGAAGCCTGTGATTGGTTTTATCAGGATGTAGGGATTGCTGATGTCTTTTGTGTCTGTCTTCATAAATATATGCAAGAGTACAGGCATGTCTTGCTACTTTCTACTTACACTTAGGTCACACTACACATACATGTACACATTTATTTATACACACTCATCTGAGTTTTCTTTGATTTTATCTTAATAGTCTTGGTGCTTAATTAATTTTCCTTTTATATCCATGGGGAGAAGTGGAATGTAAGAATCTTTCCTCCGTAATGCCTGCGTGGTTGTTAAAGTCCAAACTAAAATGGGGAACAATAGGCTGGTAAACCCCTTTTTCCTGTAACGGATTACTAAAAAAAAAGGAATAAGAGAAGAGAAATTGTCAATGTGGGGAAGTCTGAATGTGCGTGGATGTGTGCAGATGATAAGAGAAGAGATGATTGTGGATGTTATGAATGAGAAGAAGCTGGGTATGTCCTGGCTTTAAAGTGAAACAAAGCTGAAGGGGGTGGGAGAGTTTCAGTGGAGAGGAATAATGGGATTTAGGTCCAGGGGGTATTCAAATAGAGTTAGAGCTAAAGAAGAGAGTAAGCCATAATGTTGAAGGATAAGCTGTGGCAGGAAAAAGAGGTACTATAAATGTCATTAATTCAAGGTATTATGGGAGTAAATTAAAGATTGGATGTGATAAAAGCTGGGGTTATATTAAGCGTTGTATGCACCTGGAGAAGAGAGAAGTGTAGAGGAGGAGAGAGGAGATTTTTGGGAAATGTTGACGTGAATGCAGTGGGGAGTTTTGTGAATCAAGTGTGAGAGTATTGGTGGTTGGGGATTTCTATGTCTAAATGGGTTAAAAATGTTGGAAGGAGTAGTAGGTAATTTTGGGGTGCCAGGGGTAATGTAAATGGGGAGCCTTTAATTGAGCTAGTGTAGAAAGAAATTTGGTAATAAGTAATACATATTTTATGAAAAAGAGGATAAATAAATATACAAGGTATGATGTTAGCCGTAAGAAAATGTTTTATTAGATTAGTATTGGTGGATAAAAGGTTGGAGTGGGTAGGTCAGGATGTACATGTTTATAGAGGGGCAACTGATATATAGGGTCATTATTTAGTTGTAGTACAGTTTAGAGTAAGAGGTAGATGGGAACGGAAAAGAGGAAGGTGGCAACAAACAAGTAAAGAGGGAGGTGAAAGTGTATAAAACTAAGGGAGGAGGGAAGAGGAAGTTGGGTGAGTTATAGCGACTATTGGCAGAAAGGTGGGCTAGTTGCAAAGATTAGAGTTAGAGGGGGGGTTGAAGAGGGGTTGGAATAGTTTTAAAAATGCAGTTTTAGAATGTGGGGCAGAAGTTTGTGGTTTTAGTGAGGGTGGGGGCAGGAGGAAAGAGGAGTGATTGGTGGAATGATGAAGTAAGGGTGTGATAAAGAGAAAAAGGTAGTTATGAGAAGGTTTTTATCAAAGCAGCAAGTGTTATATGAAGAGCGTGTATTTGGAGAGTAAACGTAAAGGTAAAGAGAGTGGTGAGAGAGTGCAAAAAGGAGAGCAGTTGATAGAGTGGGAGAGGCACTGTCAAGGAAATTTTAATGAAAATAAGAATAATTTTGGAGTGAGTTAAACAAGATTAGAAAACCTAGGGAAAAATATGGATTTGGTCAGTTTACAAAACAGAGTAGGGGAGTTAGTAGATGGGAGGATGGAGGTAACTTGGGTAGATGGCGAGATATTTTGGGAACTTTTAAATGTTATGGAAAGAAAGTGAGGCAGGTAATTTCATGCACTGGTCAGGAGGTTTTTAGTTTATTAAATACCATCTTTTTAGGAGGAAGAAGAGCAGAATGTAAGTGTGGGGGAGGTAGTGAGGCTTTCGAAAATGTGAAAGGGGGTTCGTTAAAGCAGCTGGTACTGATGGATCATGACAGAAATGTTTAAAAAGCTGAGGGGGGGATATAGTGTTGGGGGAAGTGGTTGGTATACTTTTGTTTAATAAGTGTATGAAAGAGGGGAAAGGTACCTAGGGCTGCAGAGGCATGTTAGTCCCTTTTATATTAAAGGGAAAGGGGGGACCAAAGAGACTGTAAAAATATTAGAGGAATATAGTTACTGAGTATACCAGGAAATAGTGTACGGTAGGGTTATATTGAAAGGAATTAGAGGTATGCTAAGACAGAATGTAGGTTGCGGATGAGCAAGGAGGTTTTAGAGTGGGTATAGGGGGTGTAGATCAGGTGGTTTTACATTGAACAGCATTATGTGAACGAAGTATTTAGTTAAAGAGAGAGAAGTTTTATCGCATTTTATGGATTTAGAAAAGGATATTGATAGAGTGGATAGAGGAGCAATGTGGCAGTTGTTGCAGTATTATTGGAATATAGGTGGTAAGGTATTAAGAATGCTCTTGTATAGGTTTTATGAGGATAGTGAGCTCAGTTAGGGTGTGTAGAAGAGAGGGAGACTACTTCCAGTAAATTAGTCTTAGACAGGGATGGTATGTCTCCATGGTTGGTTTAATATTATTTATAGATGGGGGTGTAATGGAAGTAAATGCTAGGGTGTTTGGGAAGAGTGGGGTGGGATTAAATTATGGGGAATCAAATTCAAATGGGAATTTGACATCAGTTAACTTTTTGCTGATGTGATACTGTGCTTATGGGTGATTCTAACAAAAAGTGCAAAGGTTAGTGGATGATTTTTGAGTGAGGAATGTGGTGTAAAGGTAGAATTTTGGAAAGTGAACTTAGAAAAGAGGTGTATGGTGATGAAGGGTGTCAAATGATTTAGATCAAGAATATATTTGGATATCAAATTGGGGAGGAGTAGTATGAGAAGTGAATGTTTTCAGATACTTGGGAGTTGACGTGTCGGCGGGATGGGATTTATGAAGGATGAGGTTAATCATGAAATGATGAGGGAAAAAGGCGAGGTGGTGCGTTTGAGGTATATGTTGAGGTCAAAAAAAATGTTATTTCTATGGAGGCGAAGGAAGGGGAATGTATGAAGATGTATAGTAGTACCAACACTCTTTTATGGGTGTGAAGCTGCGGTGGTAAATGCAGCTGCGAGGAGACGGTAGGGAGGCAGTGGTGATTCTGTTTAAGGGCAATGTGTGGTGTTAAATATTATGCATGAGAAATTCGGGAGAGTGGAAATTAGGAGAAGGTGTGGAGTTAATAAAAGTATTGAGTCAGAGGGCAGAAGAGGGGTTGTTGAGGTGGTTTGGTCATTTAGAGAGAATGGATCTAAAGTAGAATGAATGGAAGCATAATAAATCTATAGGGAAGGAAGGCGGGGGTAGGGGGTCGTCCTTCGAAAAGGGTTGGAGAGAGGGGGTTATAAAGGATCTCTTTCTACACATAGCTCAATTAAAGGCTCCCCATTTACATTTACCTGGCACCCCAAATTTACCTACTACTCCCTCCATAACATTTTTACCCACTTTAGCAATGAAATCCCCACCACCATTACTCTCACACTTGATTCAAAACTCCCCACGCATTCACTCAACATTTCCCAAAATCTCTCTCTCTCCTCTACACTTCTCTCTTCTCCAGGTGCATACACGCTTATTATAACCCACTTTTCACATCCATCTTTATTTTACTCCACATAATCCTTGAATTAATACATTTATAGTCCCTATTTTCCTGCCATAGCTTATCCTTCAACATTATTGCTACTCCTTCTTTAGCTCTAACTCTATTTGAAACCCCTGACCTAATCCCATTTATTCCTCTCCATTGAAACTCTCCCACCCCCTTCAGCTTTATTTCACTTAAAGCCAGGACATCCAGCTTCTTCTCATTCATAACATCCACAATCATCTCTTTCTTATCATTTGCACAACATCCACGCACATTCAGACTTCCCACTTTGGCAATTTTCTTCTTCTTATTCTTTTTAGTAATCTTTACAGGAAAAGGGGTTACTAGCCCATTGTTCCCGGCATTTTAGTTGACTTTTACAACATGCATGGCTTACAGAGGAAAGATTCACATATATTCACATACATTTATCACATATATTTATATTACCCAGCAATGAAGATGAACTTCTTTAAAAGGCCTATGCCATACAATAATTCATTTGTTCTCCTCGTGTATCATGTGACTCTCTGACGTCTAATTTATATACTGTATACATACTATATTTAACCCTTTGAGGGTCGACAGGCCCTCTCCGAAACTCGTTCTCAGGGTCGGCCAAATTTCAAAAAAAAAAAAAAAATTATTTTTTCTTATGAAAAAATAGAGTTTTTTTTCTAAACATTATAGGATAAACAAAAAAATTTTACCATCAATACTTACGGAGATATGGATGCATGAAATTTGCAGAAAATGAGCCGCGTATGGCAACAGCGGCGACTGCCGCTCACCCGGTAAACTTTGATTTACTTGTATTTGAAGGTTTGTTGTTTTTTCACTATTTTATTTTTTCACATAACTTATGTGGCCTATGAGACCAAAGTAAGGTGCAATGTACATATATACACTCGTTGTATACAACACAATAAGCACACAAACAATTATCAATATATTGTTTACAAAACTTGTTTACAAAAACAAACAATACAAAACATTGTTTATTATTATTGTTCTATAATATATATACCAATATACAGTCACTGAACATATTCCTATTAGTTCTGCAGCTTGTGGAACTCTGAAACATGGTGTCATACACAATGGTGTTTTATCTTTCTCCCTCATTCTATCTCTTTCAATCTGTCTCTCTCTATCTGTCTGTCTATCTCTGTCTCAAAGGTACACATAAATACAAGTATACATAGTATAAATTACCTAGGATAACCCAAGAAATCCAGACAAAGTGCTATACTCTGCTTGAAGATGTGAGTAAAAGTGATGACACAGTCTTGTGGCTCTCTCTGAGACAGAGAGCTAGACGGATAGACAGATAGACAGGGAGCTTGACAGACAGACAAATAGACAGACAGAAATGTTAGTGTACCAGTACCAGTGTACTAGTGTTCCACCCTCCTCCTCCTCTTCTTCCTCTTCCCCCTACTCTTCCTCCTCTTCCCCTTACTCTTCCTCTTCCTCTTCCTCCTACTCTTCCTCTTCCTCCTACTCTTCCTCTTCCTCCTCCTCCTCTTCCTCCTCCTCCTCTTCTTCCTCTTCCTCCTCCTCCTCTTCTTCCTCTTCCTCCTCTTCCCCCTAATCTTCCTCCTACTATTCCTCTTCCTCCTCCTCTTCCTCTTATTCCTCTTCCTCCTACTCTTCCTCTTCCTCCTCCTCCTCTTCCTCCTTCTCCTCCTCCTCCTCCTCCTCTTCTTCCTCTTCCCCCTACTCTTCCTCCTCCTCGTCCATAGTGTAAATTACAAGGAGTCCGCAGCTGTCAAAGTGACATATTGGCTCATTACTCTTTCCCCCTCCGGCCTGTCAAAACAATGGGGTCGGATGCTGCTTCCCCTCCTCCATTTTATCTAATTATCTTTCTCCCTCATTCTATCTGTCTGTCTATCTCTGTCTCACAGGTACACATAAATACAAGTATACATAGTATAAATTACCTAGGATAACCCAAGAAACCCAGACAAAGTGCTATACTCTGCTTGAAGATGTGAGTAAAAGTGATGATGCAGTCTTGTGGCTCTCTGAGACAGAGAGCTAGATGGATAGACAGGGAGCTTGACAGACAGGCAAATAGACAGACAGAAATGTTAGTATACCAGCAAAAACAAAGGGAGGGCGATGTTCATCTCATCTTTTGGCATCAGCTCTACCCTCATTTACCCTCATCACACGTCAGCACTTATCAGATGTTATCTCCCCTTATCTTGTTACTGTCATGGGTGAACATTTATTATTACATATTATTATTATTACCTATTATTATTATTATGTATTATTATTATTATGTATTATTATTATGTATTATTATTATGTATTATTATTATTATGTATTATTATTATGTATTATTGTTATCATTACGTATTCTTCTTCTTCCTCCTCCTCTTCCTCCTCCTCCTCCTCTTCCTCCTCCTCCTCCTCCTCTTCTTCCTCCTCCTCCTCCTCTTCTTCTTCCTCCTCCTCCTCCTCCTCCTTGCCTCCTCCTCCTCTTGCCTCCTCCTCCTCTGCCTCCTCCTCCTCTGCCTCCTCCTCCTCTCCTCCTCATTCTTGGAACAAGTTTGAAGAGCTTGTAGTTCATAATCACTATCATTATCATCACCAATGCTCACATCTGAGTCTGGGATTTTGGAAAATAGGAGTTTCCTCTTTGATTCTGGTACAATTGAACGACGGCCCAGCACCAGAGGTGGAAGGCTGTGGGTTGTCTGGGTTTTCCTCACTATTACCCATATTATGGTCATTAGTTTCGGTCAAAACCTCACCAGAACCTTGAAACTCATCTTCACTGTCACTTCCATCTGTATTAGAACTGTCACTGGGGAACAAAAGTGTCCCAATTCGCCGAGGAGTGAGGAACTTCTTACCGCAGGGCACGGTGGAAATTGTGTACTATGATGGCATTCCCACAATGCACCACTGGGTCCCAGATTTTTTTCCTACTGCGCACACCCACCACACAGACCCATTCTCTCACATCTAGGCTTATCAGCCTTTTCCTGCGAGATTTGAGGCCGGTAGAATTTATGCGTACTAGTACGACAAAAACCCCTACGCGTAAGACGTACTAGTACGACCAAAACCCTCAAAGGGTTAATAGGCAGATTGATATAAATCATGGAACTAATTTATATACTGTATACGTACATACTATATTTAATAGGCAGATTGATATAAATCATGGAAGAAAATAAACACTGAATATACTCACTGTCACCCTCACAGATAAGAGGACCAAGCGTGTATCGAGCCTTTTTACCATCCAATGGAGAGCCCGTGTCACCTATTCGCAGTTGGCGTACAGGAAGGTGCTCCTTCACTGTTAATTCACCACTGTCAAAAAGCCATGATTCCAAACCTAAAGAACAAAAATTACATGAACATGAGAACTGCCATTTAACAGTATGAAAAAGGCAAACATTTCTAGAACTTGCATTTATGCTGGGGTCGAAGCAAGCAATAGAAGCATGGTCTAACACAAGGATTGCTCTCCCTCCTTCCAATCATAGAATCATAACAAACAAGAGTTGCAATTTCATGTTTTCATTAGCAGTATTACTACACCATGTGTCATAATTTCTACAACTATCTTTATTAAGAAAATGCAGGGACTGGTGGGTATTAAGGCACCCTCTCATTGGACAGAAAATTCAGATGTTTAGTGGAGTATTTTGTTATTATTATATTAAGCAGAGCTAAATTATTAAAAAGTGTATTGAGTGAAATTACTGGATTCCATCGTTATGCTGCAGCTGAAATCAGCATCAGCATTGCAATCACAATATGGAGTGTCTTATTTATTGACTCTAATTTTTGTTAGTCCTCTGGTCAAATTAATACCTGCTACTTCATTATAAATCATGCCTACAACTGTCTTTGAAAAGTTTGCAAGAAAAATGTAATACTAAAGGAAACTGCTGGCAGTGACCCACTATTGGCTGGGAGTTATATTCAGCCGAGAGATTACTTTTACAACTCTACACTTGTATATTCTATTAGTATGACCCCCACTCTACCTTATAATTTCCACAATCCTAATTCTCTGCATATTCACACATTGCTCTCATTTATTGGAGTGAATGGAGACGAATGGTATTTGGGACCTGACGAGCTGTTGGAGTGTAAGCCGGGTAATATTTAGTGAAGGGATTCAGGGAAACTACTTATTTTATATAGCCGGACTTGAATCCTGGAAATGGGAAGTACAATGCCTGCACTTTAAAGGAGGGGTTTGGGATATTAGCAGTCTTGAGGGATATGTTGTGTATCTTTATACATACATACTTCTAAACTGTTGTATTCTGAGCACCTCTGCAAAAACAGTGATTATGTGTGAGCGAGGTGAAAGTGTTGAATGATGATGAAAGTATTTTCTTTTTGTGGATTTTCTTTCTTTTGGGGTCACCCTGCCTCGGTGGGAGACAGCAAAATCTTGCAATTTTCACATTCATAATCTCCATGCAGTTAGAAAGTACAGTAGGGCCCCGCTTTACAGCATTTTGCCTTACGGCGTTCCGCTAATATGGCGAGGTCAAATTATTACCAAAATTTGATGTACAGCAAGCGATCTTTCAAATACGGCGCGCCCCACCCAGTTTGTTTACAGTCTCCATGAATACATCTATTATGTCAGGAAACTTTCCAAAATTTCAAGTGTTTTAAAGTTACTGCGTATTTTATATGTATTCTGATAATTATACTTATGTGAGCCTGTACCTAAGTATACTTACACTGTATTGGTGTGCAGGGACACATTAAAATCGCTGAGTCTCTCTACTCATGATGCCAATACTACGTAATAATAATCATTCTTAGGCATATTAAATGTCTTATTTTACATTAACATAGGCATTTTCATTAATCCATCTATGATATTTTCCTCAAAATTATATATGAAGCCCGTAACATAGCATATAAACATGATGCACACATTCACAGAATAAAAATTTACGTAAATATGAGATTTGTTTACAAAGCGGCTGTGTAGGTAGTGTTGGAAGAATTACATTTTCTCTTAGTCAAACTGGGGGATAACTGTAGAAAATTTTTCTTTTCATATGCCTTCACTCCATATATAGCAATTCACGATCCTTGTGGGTTTAGTGCTTTTTATGATAATAATAATAATAATAATAGCTTCATTCACTCTAAAAATGGTGTGCTGCTGTTTGTTTATTTTGTACTAACTTGTACAACTTGTACACAATGTAAGAGTATTTGTATTGTGAGGTAATTATTATTATAATAAAAAAACATGGAGGTAAATGTTTTACAAACTCTTACAAACGTACTTGAATGAACTAAAAGTAGACACATAATACGCACTTATTTCGCCTGACCAAGTGATTGCCCACTACTTGTTCACTTTGTATTCTTACATTGTCTGAACTCTGTATCTCATTCTCTCTCTCGTTTACTCTTTCGTTAACTAGTTGGCTCTCGTTGACGATGGCGTCTAAGCTTAGCTGTGATAAAAAGAGGAGTCGTAAGCCTCTTGCTTTAACCCTTAACCCTTTGAGGGTTTTGGTCGTACTAGTATGTCTTACGCGTAGGGGTTTTTGACGTACTAGTACTCAAATTCTAGCGGCCTCAAATCTAGTGGGAGAAAGCTGGTAGGCCTTCATATGAAAGAATGGGTCTATGTGGTCAGTGTGCACAGTCTAAAAAAAATCCTGCAGCACACAGTGCATAATGAGAAAAAAAAACTTTGACCATTTTTTTTTAATAAATCAGCGACTTTGCAGTGTATTTTTGTATGGTATTTATTGTTGTATTCTAGTTTTCTTGGTCTCATTTTATAGAATGGAAGACATATTACAGAAATTGAGATGATTTTGACTGGTTTTACAATGAAAGGTGCCTTGAAATTGAGCTCAAAGTAGCAGAAATGTTCGATTTTTACCAAACTTCAAAAGTAAACAAATCGTGCCAAGCGTGCAATACACGTCAACTGGTGAGTCTAATATTCTTTCACAAGTGCACCAATAATATTTATACCATTTTTTACACTAATGCAGTAATCTGCATAACAGTAAATCTGAATTTTTATTTTCACAAAAAATATAAAAGTGGAAAGCAAAAGAATACAAGAGGGGCCTTGAGACGTGACTAATGACTAGAGGAAATGTCATTTTAGTGCCAGGAATGTCTTTCTTGTTTATTCTGGACCCTATTCGGAAATTGGCATCTTTTGAAATTTGTGTGAAATTGGCAAAATGGCTAAATTCTGACCACTGTACTGGATAGTTGAATTTCATAAATGGGTGGTTTCTTGCACCCATTCGATAGAAAAAATGGAGTTCTAGCGAAATATTCATGTTTTTTGTCGACTAGTACAGTGAAATTGGCCGAAAATGGGGCTCAAAGTGGGCAAAATCGACGATGCGTAAACATCGCCGAGACCGCTAAGTTTGCGAGAGCATAATTCCGTAAGTTTTCTATCAAATTTTAAACTTTTGGTGTCTTTATGATCGGGAAAAGATTCTCTATCTTTTCATAAGAGAAAATAATTTTTTTTTTTTTAAATTTGGCCGACCCTGAGAACGAGTTTCGGAGAGGGCCTGTCGACCCTCAAAGGGTTAAACAGTCTAAACAGATCGACGTTCAAATTCGTAGTGCTACAAAAGTAGATCTACTTTTTTTTACATATTTTCAAATATAACAAAAAAAAATGTAGACAAAAGTTTTTTTACACATTTTCAAATTCAAAACAAAAAAGAGGATCTACATTAATTTACATACTTTCAGATGTTGAAAAAACGTATATATACGTTTGGACTGTTTAAGGGTTAAGTGCCAAGTTAGAGGATGATGGTGTGCCATTCTGATTTTATTCAATAAACACCTTGTCACTCACCTCTCACACATTAATATTAATATTTTAAGGTAAGCAATAAGTGTACTCTGTGTGCATCTTACCTTTTATTGTGTTTTTAATGTCTATTTCTATTGCTAACTTAATGTAAGTTAGTGTAAACTTGTCTGGCATTTATTGCATATTTTATATGAGCTCTGATAATAATACTCGTGGAGCTGTGGTAGCCAGGCGGAGGGACAACATTATGTTTTCTCTGCTCAGCCACCACAGAAAACGTGTATGAATCTGCATTTGGCCCAGCCACTCCCTCACTCTGCTTTTGTTTACAATTTTCGGCATGAATTATTCATTACTTCTCCCTTCGTTTATGATGGCATCTAAAGGTAGTTGTTAGAAACGATTAAATTCAGTGAACAAGTTATGCCGATGCTAATAATATGGCTCTGGGCCACAGTGTAGGTAGCCTGTAGGTGTAGCCCAGGCGGGCTACAAGTACCGGCTACCTACACTGACTTCCTACAAATAAATACTACTCACCTCTCTTCCTATATTAAGACTACACATATTTTAAGGTAAATAATGAGTGCACTGTACGTGTATTTGAGCTCTCTGGGATGTTTTAAATATCATATATTAAGTATGAGACAGGGAGCCAGGGTTACCTACACCTGACTTCCTACAAATAAGTACTACTCACCTCTCTCCCTACATTAAGATTTAAGATTACAAATACTTTAAGATAAGTAATGAATGTACTGTGAATGTATTTTACTTTGCATGTTTTTAATGGCTAGTTTTCTTAGTAACTTAATATAATTTAGTGTAAACTTGTTGTCTGGCATTTATATGCACTTATAAATGGAAAAAATGGCGTTCTGCCTTCTGGCAATGTCTGCTTTCCGGTGACAGCCTGAAACCTAACCCGCCGTATAAGTGGGGCCCTACTGTATCTCAATACACAGAGTATTTTGGTCCTCATGCATGTATCTGTTTCCTCTAGAATTGATTTTTCCAATTGCTTGTTGGAAGGTTTGACTAATGACTTCCTGAAAAGACTTCAGTCTGTACTGAATAATGCACCGAGACTGGTATTTTCTCTCCCATCCACAAGTCAGTCCTACTGCAATGTTCAAATCGCACGCCTTCAACTGTTCTTTTTTACCATTATATATTAACTTTCTTTTCAAAATGTCTAAACACACCACCTACCTTTTCTCCCCACACATAATCTATAACTCACCTTGTCTTTCACAAACTCAGATACTGAAAGATTTTACTGACATCTTAAGATCTTTAAACTTCTTTTTAGCTCTCTAAATAATTAAGTTAAGTGCAAATTTTCCTTTTATTTTACAGCATCAATTACTTATAACTGCTATACAGTTGAGTCTGCTATATAATCCAAGGTATACAAACACTTACCAGCATCACAGTTGCACCACTTGTCAGTAACACAGGTGCCCATTAGTCCACACTCACATTTACGCGATCCTGGCAGCGATCCACCCCAATAATCCATGGGTTGATTGTTGCGTGATACCCACCACGTGAAGGGTGCATTAATATTGCATGAATTAATAAAGGTCTTTCTTAACATGTGGCAGTTTCTTACTCTTCAAGGGAAAATGCTAAGAAAACTGTATTAAATTGTAAATACTGCATTCTAACACTATTACTTTGAATTTTCAGGTTATTTACCACTTTATTTTACTATCAACTTTGCTGAAAATTTTCTACTCATAGTGTAATATTGCAAATGGGATATTAATATAAAATTTCAATACACTGAGAAATAGCTTCAAAAAACATTTCTCGCAACTCATTATTACATGAAGTTATAATATACGGGTGTTTCAGAAGGATGGACCCAATTTCAAAGCAATTTCAAGACTGGGTCCATCTCTTTGAGACCACACTATATAACATGACTGTACCTCTTAATTAAATGATAAGTAGGGTTTATTTCTTTTCAGTCAGATTTTTGCATAACCCCGGTTACAAGACGGGTATATTTTCAGGCTTCACAGATGGGAATAAATCAAGATATTTTTCTGGCATCAGTCGCCACATATGCAGTTTTCATATCCTATGCATTATCAAGCTAAAACTTGAGAATACTGGAGATTGTGTTACACAAAATACGAGGGATCTCCCCCCATGACTCCTCCTGCTCTGCATCCCTCTGCTAAATCAGGAATAATGAAGACAAACAGAAATATTAAAAGAATCGGCTTTATATACTTCAAGCATCGGTTTGGCGATTAAAATCTATTTTGGTAAAAGTCACTGATTCTGAGTTCAAAAGTCCTGATCCAATCCTTGGAATACTCCACCTATTTACATAGGCTCAGCTTTTCCTGTTTGTGAATCGTGTTAAAAAAAATTTTAGATATGATGTGCAACCATACTACTGTATATAACTGTTTATGAGTTTAGTGATAAACCTGAGTTTTTGATAAAGAATATATTAAGTGCCTTGTTAAATTTTTAAAAACTATACATTTGCCCTGCACCTCATTCCTCTCAACTCCTAATTGAACATTGTAAATGTGTGGATGACATGTCATTAATTTTTTTTAATAAACAAAGAACAGAATTAAAAGGTTATATTTATAAGCCCTTGACTGTACCCCCAATCTGAGGTTTCTCCTTGTTCGCAAAATTTAAAAATAAAAAAAAATTATTTTTTATGAAACGATAGAGTATCTTTTTCCTATTGTAATGACACCAAAACAAAATATTTGATGGAAAACTGATGGAATTACACTCTCGCGAATTAGTGCCCGGCGATATTTACTCAATCAGAATTTCCCCTTTCCATTTTCATAATTCCATTGTTCCAGTCGACCAAACTCATAGCTAATTTCTTTAGAAATTCCTTTGGCTTTTTCTACGATTGAGTACAATAAATGCCATTTGCATAATTTCAAACTACCAATAATGGTCAGAAATTAGCAATTGGCAATTTCCGATCTAGAAATCAGCCCCTCAATATCCAAAGAATGACAACCTCAAAATAACATTTCTGTTCCATACTGTCTCAGGATATATTACCCTTTCATTGCATTTATGAAAAAAATTAGAAATACGTCAGGTACTTTCAACAGCAATAATCATCCCCGATTAACTAATCGCTTTTTAGAAATGCAGTGACTTATTGCCATAATATTTTACCCTTTCTTCAAAACCAAAAAACCAGATCCCTATTTTCAAATTTCCCATACTTTATGTAAATCAATCAAAAATCAACTCAGATTTTTTCCATTTATCATCAGATTTTAAAAGGACAATACCAAAACTCTTCCCCCCCCTAACTCCATCAAATTTAGGTAATTAAAATACCAAGGAGTTTTTTCCTCACGCAGCCCCAGGTTTTTAAAAGGTACAATGACCGCCTAATTCCCACATGTCCTACCAGCTTTCTCGCTCTTAAACGCAATATAGATATCGGATCCACCTCCCCGAAAGTCTTTAACGCCCCCGCCTGTTTAGACCAGGTTTGTTGAACAGTAGCTAAAATATCTACACTCCTCATCGATGTTATCAACTGAAAACATAAAGTTAAAAGATGCTTGAATCCATAACCCAGTGCAAAGGCAATACTAGTAAACCCTATTATGAACCCCCAAAAATATTTACATTAAAATTCCAATCCTCACTAAAGTTTTGCAGGTAAACCAACAAAAAAATACAAATACTAAACATTTCTTCTTTTCAACTGTTGATTCTACTAGCCTATGACCAAAAGATACATCCCCCCCTCTCCAAAAGATGTTTTTTATTTAACAACTTTCAAAATAAAAAATGTAGATCAGTTTTGCTGAAATCTAAAAGAAAAAAAAAAAAGCAATTTAATTCTGCCAAAACTGCAATTCAAACTTTAATTAAGGCACATGTCTCTATGGTCATTCATGAATGCATCTCAAAGATAGAATTACTAAATTTTTTTTTTTACATTTAATATCTTATTTTTTACAACGGTTGACCAAATCAACCAGCAGGTGGCCAAAAAGACGAAATCCCAACATTATAAGATAACTAGGAATAGTTATAGATCCTCGGCATTTTAGGACCTTCAAAGGCAGGTTAGGAGATGAATTATCATCAGGGGAAAAAAGAGAAAAAAGAAAAAAAAATAAAAGAAACATTAAGAAAAGAAACCAGAACTGGAATGGACGACAGCTTTGAAAGGTAAGAGTGAAGTAGCAAACGTCTGTACACTGAGTCTTGAGACAGGGAAAAAAACAACTCATAAGTAAAATCACCTTTCTTTTACATTGCTCAACGGTTACCTCCTGGAATACTTTTACCTATAAATTAAAAAAAAAAAAAAAAAAAAAAAATTAATAATTTTTTTCACATCAAATGAAAAAAAAAAAAAAAAAAAAAAAGTCTACATTTTTTCCATACTTCAAATGGTTGAAAAACATAGATCTACGTTAAACAGTTTAAGGGTTCAAGTTAGGCATTGTACTTCCCATTCCATATGGTCAGTTAAAAATCAAGGCAAATAATTTTGCACATTGGGCTACAAAAATCCCCATAATCAATATAAACTTGGAGAAGTTTGGTACAGAATTCTGGTGATCCAATAACAAACCAGTTTGGTCTCAGATCAAGTCCTAATTCCTATAGACAAAAAGTTAGGTGATAAGACTATTAGAACCAAAAGTAAGTGATTAAAAGGAATATTTCACATAATTGGTTTTGCAAGATTTACTGTAATCATGCAGTGCAGAAAAAAAAACGCTTCAACAATCTGACAAAATGCAACATATTACAGAATGCAAATCCAGGTTAACTCCTGCCTTAAAAAAAAAAGAACCAGGTAAAAATGAAAGACAGATTTGACCTAAGGGGTGAAACAGACTGTAAGCCTGAAAACTGTCTGTACCTTGGGAAGCTGGATTATGATCAGGCTAGACTTGAAATCTAATAATATAAAGAATACAGTCCACCAATCCTAGAGAGCTCACAACCATTACCGTTAACTCTGCAGAATTAACTATTTAACCCTTTCATGATTGGAAATTAAAAAAAAAAAAAAAAAAAAAAGAAAATTGAATGATAATCTTTTCCCAGTCATAATCACGAAATGTGAAATTTGATGGGAAAAGCTACAGAATATGCTTTGCCAAGTTAGCGGTCTGTGAGTAGACGGATTTTGCCACTTTGAGCTATTCGGCCAAGTTCTCATGTACCAGTGACCAAAAATCCTATTTGTAGAACTCCATTTTTTCTATCGAATGAGTACAGAAACCACCATTTTAAAACCCAAATTTTAACTATCAATAAAGTGGTTTTAATCGGCAATCTGCCAATTTCACACAAATTTCTAAAGAAAACCATTTTCCAAATTTTTTTTTTTTTTTCAACAAGGGTCTCCACCGAGGCAGGTGACCCAAATAATGAAAAAGAAAATCCCAAAAAGAAATATTTCAAATTCAACATTTACCACACTCCACTTATCATGCTTTTGCAGGGTTAGATACAACAGCTTATGAAGCATAACGTATAAAGAATACACAACATATCTCAAAACTGCCAATATTCCAAACCCCTCCTTTAAACCCTTAGGGATCGTCCGTAGATTACGGCTTTACGTTCGGTCCAAACTAGATCTACCCATGAGCTCAGTCACCTTTATCTTGTTTAAAAATTTGGCTAGATATGGTGAATACATCTATTGGATGTGTGCACCACTTATAAAACAATCCTGCAGCACATTGTTTTTAGAGAAAAAAAATGAATTCATGATTTTTGGATTAAAAAGCAACTTTGCAGTGTTTTCGACTTTTTTTATAGTGTATTTGCATTTTCTTGGTCTCATTTGATAGAATGGAAGACATATTACAGAAATAGAGATGATTTGATTGTTTTTGCCCCTGAATGGATTGAAACTGAGCCAAGTAGCAGAAATGTTAAATTTTTGCAAATTTAAGAGTAAACAAAGACCTCACACGTCTAATTCAGTCAGTGGTGGGGCTAATTAATTCACAAATCGGGGATGTATTTTATACATTATTACAGTATTCATAACTAAATTTTTTTTTTGGTGTGAAAAAAATTTATTTTGTGAATAAAAAATCAAAATGGAATTTTTTTGTAAAGCCTCAAAACTAACTAAGAACAGAGGGAAATGTTAGTTTTGGCCAGGGAAGCCTACTTGTTTTATTTGGACCCTATTTGAAATTGGAATTTTTGAACTTTGTGTTAAAATTTGGGCCAAAATTAAAAATTTCCCCATCACTTTATTTTGTAGTTGAAACAGTTTTTACTTGGCGATTTCTTGGCTCATCGATGAATGAAGTAATATAGTGAAAAACTAAGAAATTTTGGTTTATTGGAATAATGTAATTGGCCTAAAATGGGAGTCAAAGTCGGCAAAATCGCCGATTCGTAAATATCGCTGACACATCAAAATTCGTGAGCATAATTTCGTCAATTTTCCACCAAATTTCGTACTTTTTGTTTTATTACCTTCACAAAAAGATTCTCTACGATTTCATAAGAAAAAATAAAAATTTTTTTTTTTGGAAAATTCTTGGACACTGGTGCGTGACTCCAGATTTGGGCCTTGGACCCTGAAAGGGTTAAAGTGCAGGCATTGTACTTCCCATTTCCAGGACTCAAGTCTGACTATTCTGGACCCAAATAGGGTCCAGAATAAATAAGACAGACATTCCTGGCACTAAAATAACATTTCCTCTGTTCATTAGTCATGTCCCCATGCCTGTTACATTTCTTTTACTTTCCACTTTGAATTTTTATTCTCACAAAAAACAGAAGATTCATGTTATGCAGACTTCTGCGTTAGTGTAGAAATGGTACAAATAATATTTGCGCACTTGTGAAAGAATATTAGACTCGCCAGTTGATGTGTATTGACATGTGGCTTGATTTATTTACTTTTGAACTTTGGCAAAAATCGAACATTTCTGCTACTTTGAGCTCAATTTCAAGGTACTTTTCATTGTGAAACCAATAAAAATCATCTCAATTTCCATAATATGAGACCAGGAAAACTGGAATACAACCATAAATAGCATTCGAAAATATACTGGAAAGTCGCTGTTTTAAACCAAAAACACGGTCGGAGTTTTTTTTTTCTTCCTTATGCACTGTTTGCTGCAGGATTTTTTTTTATACTGCGCACACTGACCACATAGACACATTTTCATAAGTAGGCCTACCAGCTTTCTTTCGCTAGATTTGAAGGCACTAGAATTTAGGCGTACTAGTATGGCACCAACCCTGGTGTGCAAGCTGTACGAGTACGGCACCAACCCTGAAAGGGTTAATTCAGGCTGGCCATCACTAATCCGGCAATCAATAATCTGGTTCCATCAATAATCTGGTTCCATCAGTAATCTGGCACTAATTACGGCTAGCATAATTTCAATTTACCGAGTTCCCCACACCAACCTGCCGCTACTGTTTGGTCGCTACTTGCTGCACAAGTCATTTCAATTTTTTTTTTTCCATTTACTGTTATAACCTGCTCACTTTTAGCCCTAGCCATGGTTCCAATGAATAAAAGAAATGCTTCTCTTTGTGTAAAGCACATTCACCATACATTGTCCGTAAAAGATAAGTGGCTTCCAGCCCACTGTCGGTCACTGAGCTCAGGCTCACTCAGATAAGCTGTGACCGGTAAATTTGGGCCTGTATGTGAAAGAAAAGGTCTGTATAATAAGTGCGCACTATATAAAAAAAACCTGCAGCACGCAGTGCATAATGAGAAAAAACTGTGACTGTATTATTGGTGTAAAACAGTGACTTTGGGATGTATTTTTGTAAGGTTTTTGTGGCTGTATTCTCGTTTTTTGGTCTCAGCTGATAGAACAGAAGATATATTACAGAAATAGATATGATTTTGATTGATTTCACGATGGAAAGTACCCTGAAATTGAGATCAAAATAGTGGAAATGTTCGATTTTTGCCAATGTTCAAGAGTAAACAAATGACGTCAGTGTCCAAAACGTGTTCAACTAGCTGGTCTAATACACAGTCATGAATAGGCTGACGTTATTTATACAATTACAATAATGCGGTAGTCTGCATAACAGTAAATCTATTTTTTGTGTGAATAAAAATTCAGAATGGAAAGCAATCATAATACGTACAGTGGACCCCGGATTATGTCGTCATCGGAATTGGTATTCAGAATAAGTAACATTTTTTCATCAAAATATTAGCTCAGTAATCATCACTGAACTCGGTATTAGTCATTTGTCCTGAACATGTCTGCGTGATCCGAGCGGTCCGACACACCATTTACAGCCAGTGTGCCATTGTTTATCAGCCAGTGAGGATGATCCCACACGCATACGATACATTTTGTATTCCATTTTTTTAGTGCTTGCAACTGCTAAATAAGCCACCTTGGGCCCAAAGAAAGCTTCTAGTGCTGCCCCTTTGGTAAAGAGGGTGAGAAACACTATAGAATGCAAGAAGGACATCACTGCAAAATATGAAAGTGGAGTACGTGTTGCAGAGCTGACCAGGTTGCATGACAAACCCTATACAACCATCGCTTCTATCGTGGCCAAGAGAAAGGAAATCAAGGAAGCTGTTGTTGCGAAAGATGCAAATATGCTTACAAAACAGAGATTGCAAATACTCGAAGATGTGAAAACTTTGTTGTCTTGTGGATCAACGAGAAACAATTATCATGAGATAGTGTTATGCAGTCAATAATTTGTGAAAAGGCAAGGCAGATGCATGATGATCTTGTAAAGAAAATACCTGGAACTAGTGCTGATAATGGTGAATTTAAAACCAGCAAAGGATGGTTTGAGAGATTTAAGAATCGTAGTGGCATACACAGTGTGATAAGGCATGGCAAAGCTGCCAGTTCTGACAAAAAAGTGACTGAAAAATATGTTCAGGAATTCAAGGGGTACACAGAGGCTGAAACATTCAAACACCAACAAGTGTTCAATTGTGATGAAACAGGCCTTTTTTGGAAGAAAATGCCAAAGAAGACCTACATTACTTAGGAGGAAAGGCACTCCCAGGACACAAGTCTATGAAAGATGGGCTAACTCTCATGTTTTGTAGTAATGCTAGTGGGGATTTCAAAGTGACGTCTTGACTGGTGTATCACTCTGAAAGTCCCAGTGTGTTAAAGAAAAACAGTGTCGTCAAAAGTAAACTGTGTGTGATGTGGAAGGCAAACAGTAAGGCATGGGTCAAAAGGGACATTTTCTGGATTGGTTTAATGACATGTTTGGCCCCAGTGTGAAGAAATACCTCCTGGAAAATAAATTGGAACTCAAGTGCCTCCTGGTAATGGACAATGCTCCGCTCATCCTCCAGACTTGGATGAGCAAATAATGCAGGAGTTTCATTTCATCAAAGTGAAGTTCTTGCCCCCTAATACCACTACTCTCCTCCAGCCCATGGACCAGCAGGTCATTTAAAATATCAAAAAACTGTACACCAAAGCAGTGTTTCAAAAGTGCTTTGAAGTGACCTCAGACACTGAAATGACCCTAAGAAAGTTCTGGATAGATCACTTCAATATCTTTCATTGCATAAACCTTATAGGTAAGGCCTGGGAGGGATTTGGAACTCTGTTTGGAGAAAATTGTGGCCACAATGTGTACAAGAGAGGGATTTTGAAGGGTTTGGACCTGACCCTGATGAGCCTATGCCAGTTGTGGAAAGTACTGTGGCATTGGGGAATTCCATGGGGTTGGAAGTGAGTTTTGAGGATGTGGAAGAGTTGGTGGAGGACCATGATGAAGAGCTAAACCCTAAAGAGCTGCAAGAGCTTCATCTGCAACAGCAACAGACCACAGCTCAGGAAACTGCTTCAGAGGAGTAAGAGAGATGGAGGAAGGTGCCTTCTTAAAAGATTAAGGAGATTTTTACAAAGTGGACAAAAGTGCAAACATTTATGGATGAACATCACCCTGACAAAGCTGTTGCAGGCCATGTTGGCAACATGTACAATGACAATGTTGTATCCCAATTTAGGGAAGTTTTAAAGAAATGCCATATACAGACCTCTCTGGAACACTTTTTTTGAGCGACAGGGGTCCAGTGACTCTCAAGCTGGTCCTAGTGGCATTAAAAAACAAAGAAGGGAAGTAACCCCAGAAAAGGACTTGGTACCTGAAGTCTTTATGGAAGGGGATTCCTCTTCTAAACAATAGTACACCTCCATGCTCTCCCCTCCTCCCGTCTCATAGCTCATCAATATGTCTTCAATAAAAGTAAGTGTCATTTTAGTACTGTTTTAATCTCATTGTTGTCTGTGTAGGGAAATGTATATTTCATGTAAAAAAATTATTTACCAGGGGTCCACTGTATAAGAGGGGCCTAGAGACGTGACTTAGGAACAGAGAAAATATGATTTTAGTGCCAGGAATGTTTGCATTGTTTATTCTGGACCTTATTTTGAAATTGCCATTTCTTAAAATTTGTGTGAGATTGACAAAATTACTGATTTCTGACCACTTTATTGGGTAGCTGAAATAGGCAAATGGGGGTCTCCTGTACTCAGTCGACAGACTAGAAGGAATACTAGTGAAATAGCTATGTGTTTGGTAGACTGGAACAATTGAATGGGCAAATAACAGGGCGTAAAGTGTGCAAATCATAAATATTGCCAATGGGTTAAGTGTATTCTAACCTAACCATTCTGTAATCCAGCAAAATCAATAATTCGACATCCTACAGGTTCCAATGATGCCAGATTAGTGGTGGTCAACCTGTATTGACCTGAAAGCATGCTTCAGGTGACCAATAACTAGATAGTTACTAAAGGATACCATCTGTACATTTCCCCAGCAAAATTTCTAACAGAACCAACTGAACTGGCACTTAAGTCAGACCTCAATAAATACCTGAAAGGGTTGGTCTTCTGGAGACGGTGAATTAAAAAGTTTTGCTTTAAGACACTCGTAGTGAATCCGCTGACGACATTTGGAAGAACGATTGACAAAAATTTCAATGTGTTCCATGCCGGCATCATAAATTATATTTTGTACATATGATCCTCTCTTCTCAAATCCATCTACAGTAGTCATCTTCTCATGTTTGTGACTCAGGAAGGAAAACACTTTACCATCATCTGAGGAAGTTGAATAAATAAGAACATACAATCAAAAATGAATGAAAATTTAAATATTTAAAAAATTACAAAAAAAATTAAAATATGGTACGAGATTCCTAAAAATTAAGGAGTATCATTTCAACTGAAACACGTATGATAAAAAACTTTAAAGGTAAGGAATGGTTAATTAAAATAGCAAATATTTTAAAATCTTCAGGTCTGAAAATAAATACAAAATAGTGATAACATAATGATTTCAAACCCATTTAAAGAACTCTAGTAATTTAGAAAATATTACATACAGAAGCTTAAAATTTAGCTTCTGAAGAGAGCTCTATGCCGATTTTTTAAAAAATGTTGTACAGTGGAACCTCTACTCGTGAGAGTGTCCACGTGCGAGTTTTTCCAAATACGAGCAGTCGATGGGTCTATTTTTTGCTTCCATACGCGAGCAAAATTTCCACAAGCGAGCAGACCTCAAGGCAGGTTCCTTGACACTGGTGAGGGGCTCTTGCTCTTGATCTCGGGAATTGTATTTCATTTGTTTGTTGGACTATCTTATTGAAACTTGGACAGTGTATGATGGAAAGATGCTTCTTAACGTACACCAAAAATGAAAGAAATCTAAGCATAAATAATAGAGTTCACTTCTCAGCAATTAGCCACCCCATAGTGGTAATTTCAAATGGTTTTTATGGTTGTATTCTCGTTTTTTTGGTCTCATTTGATAGAATGGAAGATATATTACAGAAATGGATATGATTTTGATTGCTTTCAAAACAAAAAGTGCCTTGAAATTGAGCTCAACCTAGGAGAAATGGTCCAGTGAATGGGTTGACATATTTATACAATTATTCCAATAAGAAATAACAGTAAATCTTATATTTTTTGTGTGAATAAAAATTACAAATAATTTATATAACAATAACAGTATTATTATGTATAATAATAATAAGAGAGAAGTGTAGAGGAGAGAGAGAGATTCTGGGAAATGTTGAGTGAATGCGTGGGGAGTTTTGAATCAAGTGTGAGAGTAATGGTGGTTGGGGATTTCAATGCTAAAGTGGGTAAAAATGTTATGGAGGGAGTAGTAGGTAAATTTGGGGTGCCAGGGGTAAATGTAAATGAGGAGCCTTTAATTGAGCTATGTGTAGAAAGAAATTTGGTAATAAGTAACACATATTTTATGAAAAAGAGGATAAATAAATATACAAGGTATGATGTAGCACGTAATGAAAGTAGTTTGTTAGATTATGTATTGGTGGATAAAAGGTTGATGGGTAGGCTCCAGGATGTACATGTTTATAGAGGGGCAACTGATATATCGGATCATTATTTAGTTGTAGCTACTGTTAGAGTAAGAGGTAGATGGGAAAAGAGGAAGGTGGCAACAACAAGTAAGAGGGAGGTGAAAGTGTATAAACTAAGGGAGGAGGAAGTTCGGGCGAGATATAAGCGACTATTGGCAGAAAGGTGGGCTAGTGCAAAGATGAGTAGTGGGGGGGTTGAGAGGGTTGGAATAGTTTTAAAAATGCAGTATTGGAATGTGGGGCAGAAGTTTGTGGTTATAGGAGGGTCGGGGCAGGAGGAAAGGGAGTGATTGGTGGAATGATGAAGTAAAGGGTGTGATAAAAGAGAAAAAGGTAGCTTACGAGAGGTTTTTACAAAGCAGAAGTGTTATAAGAAGAGCAGAGTATATGGAGAGTAAAAGAAAGGTGAAGAGAGTGGTGAGAGAGTGCAAAGGGAGAGCAGATGAAAGAGTGGGAGAGGCACTGTCAAGAAATTTTAATGAAAAATAAGAAAAAATTTTGGAGTGAGTTAAACAAGTTAAGAAAGCCTAGGGAAAGTATGGATTTGTCAGTTAAAAACAGAGTGGGGGAGTTAGTAGATGGGGAGAGGGAGGTATTAGGTAGATGGCGAGAATATTTTGAGGAACTTTTAAATGTTAAGGAAGAAAGGGAGGCGGGTAATTTCATGCACTGGCCAGGGAGGTATACCATCTTTTAGGAGTGAAGAAGAGCAGAATGTAAGTGTGGTGGAGGTACGTGAGGCATTACGTAGAATGAAAGGGGGTAAAGCAGCTGGAACTGATGGGATCATGACAGAAACGTTAAAAGCAGGGGGGGATATAGTGTTGGAGTGGTTGGTACTTTTGTTTAATAAATGTATGAAAGAGGGGAAGGTACCTAGGGATTGGCAGAGAGCATGTATAGTCCCTTTATATAAAGGGAAAGGGAACAAAAGAGATTGTAAAAATTATAGAGGAATAAGTTTACTGAGTATACCAGGAAAAGTATACGGTAGGGTTATAATTGAAAGAATTAGAGGTAAGACAGAATGTAGAATTGCAGACGAGCAAGGAGGCTTCAGAGTGGGTAGGGGATGTGTGATCAAGTGTTTACATTGAAGCATATATGTGAACAGCATTTAGATAAAGGTAAGGAAGTTTTTATTGCATTTATGGATTTAGAAAAGGCATATGATAGAGTGGATAGAGGAGCAATGTGGCAGATGTTGCAAGTATATGGAATAGGTGGTAAGTTACTAAATGCTGTAAAGAGCTTTTATGAGGATAGTGAGGCTCAGGTTAGGGTGTGTAGAAGAGAGGGAGAATACTTCCCGGTAAAAGTAGGTCTTAGACAGGGATGTGTAATGTCACCATGGTTGTTTAATATATTTATAGATGGGGTTGTAAAAGAAGTAAATGCTAGGGTGTTCGGGAGAGGGGTGGGATTAAATTATGGGGAATCAAATTCAAAATGGGAATTGACACAGTTACATTTTGCTGATGATACTGTGCTTATGGGAGATTCTAAAGAAAAATTGCAAAGGTTAGTGGATGAGTTTGAGAATGTGTGTAAAGGTAGAAAGTTGAAAGTGAACATAGAAAAGAGTAAGGTGATGAGGGTATCAAATGATTTAGATAAAGAAAAATTGGATATCAAATTGGGGAGGAGGAGTATGGAAGAAGTGAATGTTTTCAGATACTTAGGAGTTGACGTGTCGGCGGATGGATTTATGAAGGATGAGGTTAATCATAGAATTGATGAGGGAAAAAAGGTGAGTGGTGCGTTGAGGTATATGTGGAGTCAAAAAACGTTATCTATGGAGGCAAAGAAGGGAATGTATGAAAGTATAGTAGTACCAACACTCTTATATGGATGTGAAGCTTGGGTGGTAAATGCAGCAGCGAGGAGACGGTTGGAGGCAGTGGAGATGTCCTGTTAAGGACAATGTGTGGTGTAAATATTATGCAGAAAATTCGGAGTGTGGAAATTAGGAGAAGGTGTGGAGTTAATAAAAGCATTAGTCAGAGGGCAGAAGAGGGGTTGTTGAGGTGGTTTGGTCATTTAGAGAGAATGGATCAAAGTAGAATGACATGGAAAGCATATAAATCTATAGGGGAAGGAAAGAGGGGTAGGGGTAGTCCTCGAAAGGGTTGGAAAGAGGGGGTAAAGGAGGTTTTGTGGGTGAGGGGCTTGGACTTCCAGCAAGCGTGCATGAGCGTGTTAGATAGGAGTGAATGGAGACGAATGATACTTGGGACCTGACGATCTGTTGGAGTGTGAGCAGGGTAATATTTAGTGAAGGGATTCAGGGAAACCGGTTATTTTCATATAGTCGGACTTGAGTCCTGGAAATGGGAAGTACAATGCCTGCACTTTAAAGGAGGGGTTTGGGATGTTGGCAGTTTGGAGGGATATGTTGTGTATCTCTATACGTATATGCTTCTAAACTGTTGTATTCTGAGCACCTCTGCAAAAGCAGTGATAATGTGTGAGTGTGGTGAAAGTGTTGAATGATGATGAAAGTATTTTCTTTTTGGGGATTTTCTTTCTTTTTTTTTGGGTCACCCTGCCTCGGTGGGAGACGACCGACTTGTTGAAAAAAAAAAAAATAATAATAATATGAATAATAACAATACATATAATAATAATAATAATAGTTTCAATGGAGAGGAATAAATGGGATTAGGTCAGGGGTTTCAAATAGAGTTAGAGCTAAAGAAGGAGTAGCAATAATGTTGAAGGATAAGCTATGGCAGGAAAAGAGGGACTATAAATGTATTAATTCAAGGATTATGTGGAGTAAAATAAAGATTGGATGTGAAAAGTGGGTTATAGTAAGCGTGTATGCACCTGGAGAAGAAAGAAGTGTAGAGGAGAGAGAGAGATTTTGGGAAATGTTGAGTGAATGCGTGGGGAGCTTTGAATCAAGTGTGAGGTAATGGTGGTTGGGGATTTCAATGCTAAAGTGGGTAAAAATGTTATGGAGGGAGTAGTAGGTAAATTTGGGGTGCCAGGGGTAAATGTAAATGAGGAGCCTTTAATTGAGCTATGTGTAGAAAGAGATTTGGTAATAAGTAATACATATTTTATGAAAAAGAGGATAAATAAATATACAAGGTATGATGTAGCACGTAATGAAAGTAGTTTGTTAGATTATGTATTGGTGGATAAAAGGTTGATGGGTAGGCTCCAGGATGTACATGTTTATAGAGGGGCAACTGATATATCGGATCATTATTTAGTTGTAGCTACAGTTAGAGTAAGAGGTAGATGGGAAAAGAGGAAGGTGGCAACAACAAGTAAGAGGGAGGAGAAAGTGTATAAACTAAGGGAGGAGGAAGTTCAGGGGAGATATAAGCGACTGTTGGCAGAAAGGTGGGCTAGTGCATAGATGAGTAGTGTGTGTGGGGGGGGGGGGGGTTGAAGAGGGTTGGAATAGTTTTAAAAATACAGTATTAGAATGTGGGGCAGAAGTTTGTGGTTATAGGAGGGTGGGGGCAGGAGGAAAGAGGGTGATTGGTGGAATGGTGAAGTAAAGGGTGTGATAAAAGAGAAAAAGGTAGCTTATGAGAGGTTTTTACAAAGCAGAAGTGTTATAAGAAGAGTAAAAGAAAGGTGAAGAAAGTGGTGAGAGAGTGCAAAAGGAGAGCAGATGATAGAGTGGGAGAGGCACTGTCAAGAAATTTTAATGAAAATAAGAAAAAATTTTTGAGTGAGTTAAACAAGTTA